ACTGGATCGGCAGCCAGTGGAGCTGACGTAGCAGAGGAGTGGTGTGCTCCCTGTATGACGCTCCGGTGATTAATCTGGCTGCCGCCCGTTGGACTAGTTGAAGTTTCCGAACAGTCTTCAAAGGCAACCCCACGTAGAGTGCATTGCAGTAATCTATTCGGGATGTAACAAGGGCGTGGACCACTGTGGCCAGATCAGACTTCCCAAGGAATGGGCGCAGCAGGTTCAAGTCTCAGTGTCAGGATGACACTGCAGGTTCAAGTCTCAGTGTCAGGATGAAAACAAAAGGTGAGAAATCATAATTATGAGCCTTGATAATATTTGAAGTTTCTCCTGATGCCACAGAACTAGTTAATTCATATTTCTCAAATGTTGTAAGCCTTTCATACAATAACTTGAAAGTATCAATGAATTTAGCAGGGCTTACTCGTAGTTAACATGCAGAGTTGGGTTGTTTTAACTCTCATATTCCCAAAATAAATGATCCTTTTTCAGCTCACTGTGCTAGAACTTCTGTGTTGCTAGGAAGCTGCTATTCCACAACTTTTTAATGTATGGATTGTTGCTATGGCACCGGATGTCACCGTAGACGTAGTTTGCAGGGTGCAGCAATATCTAAATCAGGCAAATGAAACAATTTGTAATTAATTTTCTATTGAGCAGAGGCACTGGTCTGAAATGTTAAGCGGGGGATAAAAAGAGTACTAGAATCATAGAGAGCCACACAGCCACACCCCCTGCCATACAGAAATACACATTCAAAACCCTCTCAACAGATGGCTATCTAGGCTCTGTTTAAAAACATCAAGAGAAGGGGACTGCACCATACTCCGATTTAGCATATTTCACTGTCAAACACCTCATATCACTGGGGCATGATATCTCTTTTCCTGCGTCTTCAATCTATTGCTCTGTGTCCTAGTCTCTAGAGCAGCAAGGAAAAAGCCTGCTTCATCTGCTTAATGAATGAATGAAACTTTATTTATAGCTCGCCCCAGCTCCACAAAGGCGGCTCACAACAAAATACAAAATGTCAAACATTCAATGCTGACAGTGATAAGTAACAAATCAATAAACAAATCAAGAACCAACTCAGTAAACTACAAATGGACATGCATAAACAAGACATAAAATAATCCACATAATTACTAACATTGAATCCTTAAAATATTATTTAAAATCTCTAAAATTAGGCTAAAATTGTTGGGAGGGGGAGATGGAAAGCAGCAATTTAATTGGGTGGATGCTAGCAGCTAGGTAAGGTGCAAATAGATGTGCTTAATCCTCCTCCTCTCTGTAAGCTAAATTGCATATGTGTGTTTAATAACTTTTTGAAGGATAGAGAGAAGGCTGTTTTTAACTCTTTAGGGAGGAAGTTGCAGAGGTGGGGAGTGATCACAGAGAAGGCCCTTTCTCTTGTTCCCACCAGCCGCGTTTGAGACGGGGGTGGGACCGAGAAGAAAGCCTCCTCCACTGAACGCAGTGCTTGTGTTGGTTTATATACAGAGATGTAGTCTTTCAGATAGTCTGGGCCTGAGCCATTTAGGGCTTTATAGATAATAACCAGCACTTTATATTTAGCTTGGAAGCAGATCAACAGCCAGTGGAGCTGCCGCAATGTAGGAATTTTCCGCTCCCTGTACAGTGCTTCAGTTAGTAACCTGGCTGCCGATCTCTGAACCAGTTGTTGCTTCCGAGCTGTCTTCAAAGGCAGACCCACATAGAGAGTGTTGCAGTAGTCCAGATTTTCATATGCTGAATATCACTTGTAATAGGTTATATCTGTAATGCTTTGTATATAACAGGTTAGCAGAGATTTTTTGTGCTGTTTAAGCTCATTTTCAGATGCTGCCTGCTAATTAAAATTAGTGTTCTGTTCATTACAGTCATAGTGTTCAGATAACTACAAACAGTTGTTGTATGTTGGATGTTACCCACAGGCATCTGAAAACATACATTGCCAATCTGCTTGTCATACAATTGAATCATAGAATCATAGAGTTGGAAGAGACCTCATGGGCCATCCAGTCTAACCCCCTGCCAAGAAGCAGGAATATTGCATTCAAATCACCCCTGACAGATGGCCATCCAGCCTCTGTTTAAAAGCTTCCAAAGAACGAGCCTCTACCACACTCCGGGAGGGTAGAGAGTTCCACTGCTGAATGGCTCTCAGAGTCAGGAAGTTCTTCCTAGTGTTCAGATGGAATCTCTTTTCTTGTAGTTTGAAGCCATTGTTCTGCATCCTAGTCTCCAAATCTGGAATCCAGCATTATGTGGAACTACAGTTTTCTTCTATCTGCTGTTTATGAAGCATTCCTCAAATCTAATGTGGAAGGCTGGATCCTCCACCCTTCACCCCAAAAAAGCAATTTTGGTGCCACAGAGATGGGAGAAGAAAGACCCAGAAATCTCACTACCATTTCAAGCATTATGCTTGATTTAGCTCCATGATATATTATTTTCTGAACATGAATTCATGCTTTCAGGATTTTTGTGAGGATATATATTTTAACCAACTAAACTTGCATTTTCATGTAACTTTGCAGTCTGTAAAATGTTCTTCACAGTTGCTTCGTAAAATTTTGTTCAAAACATTTTTATGCTAAATTAAAAACATGTAAGAGCCATTTGCAATTTTAAAGCCTACATAAAAACCAAATAAAAAAAAACAATAATGTGTTTCTGTCTGACAATACAGGGCTTACAAAATCAGCACTTAGGTTCAGGAAATTCCTGTAGAAAGATAAGCACCTTACATAATTGTTGGAAACACATTACTTTTAATGCCTCCAAGCAAAGTGTAGGCGTCATCACAAAGACAGACTTCTGTATTGTCACCGAATCAGATTACATAAGTTGTAGCATTTTCATACTTACTCTGAAGATCCTTAAAATTCAAATGCATCCATGTAAGTCTAATGGATTTATACAGGGGAAGCAGTTTTATAAGTCACCTAGACCTGAGTTGTTCAGGAGTTATGTTAATGTTAATATATAGACCATGAACATTGCTTAGTAAGAGATAACACGTTCTTTCAGGATGGACATACTGTCCCTGTGGTCAGGAATCCGAAGTACTCTGATGATGGTAGCCAGTATCAGCTGAAACTTCCAACTTACCTCTTTGTGCAACTTTTCTTTGCAGCACAGTAGATTACTTAAAATTCACTTTGGTCTTACTACCCACTTTGGAAAGTTTTAATAGTGTTCCCTATCTTACATATATCTGGTTCCAATAAAATAACCATTGATAAGATCGGTGTTGGGTTTCTAGTTTAAATGTGGACAGTGGTCCTTTTTAACTCAGCACTGGGGGGCCTCCTGGAGGCCCAGGTATCGGCAGTGGCTGGGAGGGCCTTTGCACAATTAAAACTTGTGCAGCAACTGCACCTTTTCTTTGAGAAGTGAGATTTGACCAGGGTAGTACATACCTTAGTTACATCCTGTCTGGATTACTATAACACTCTACATGGGTCTGCCCCTGAAGGGTTCTTGGAATCTTCAGCTGGTCCAAAGAGCCACAGCCAGGTTGCAACTGGGGCTAGCTACAGGGAGCAGACAACCCCCTGTTGAAGCAGCTCCACTGGCTGTCAGTCTGTTACTGGGCACAATTCAAAGTGCTGGTTATGACCTTTAAAGCCCTAGACCAGAGGTCCTCAAACTAAGGCCCGGGGGCTGGATGCGGCCCTCCAAGGTCATTTACCCGGCCCTCGCTCAGGGTCTACCTAAGTCTGTAATGACTCAAAAGCATGCAACAACAACAATCCTATCTCACCTGCCAAAAGCAGGCCCACACTTCCCACTGAAATACTAATATATTTATATTTGTTAACATTGTTCTTCATTTTAATTATTGTATTGTTTTTAAGTGGCTTTTGCACTACAAATAAGATATGTGTAATGTGCATAGGAATTCGTTCATCTTTTTTTTTCAAATTATAATCCGGCCCTCCGACAGTTTGAGGGACTGTGACCTGGCCCTCTGTTTAAAAAGTTTGAGGACCTCTGCCCTAGACAGTTCAGGTCCAGACTATTTGGCTAACCACATCCCCTTGTACAAACTTGCTTGGACCCTGAAAGGTTATTCATGACAGCTCCCCCCCCCCCCCAATTCTGGAACTCCCTGCCCAGGGAAGCCAGAATGGCCACCTCCCTGCTGGCCTTCCAGCAGCAGGCTAAAACCTTTCTTTTCAGGCAGGGTTTACAAGATGAAGGTGTTTGAGACCATCAACGAATACTGTGATTTTGAAATGTGAGTTTCTGTATGGAGAGAAAAATCAGTATATATTAATAATAATAAAAAATAATAATCTCCCATGAAAATAGAAGCAGTGAAGGATAAATCCTGTATGACATCAGTGAGAAGAGTAAAAAAGATGGTGTTACATTGATGTTTGCAGATTCCGCTAGCATAGTGGTTCTCAACCTCTGGATCCCCAGATGTTTTGGCCTTCAACTCCCAGAAATCCCAACAACTGGTAGGCCAAAACACCTGGGGGCCCATAGGTTGAGAACCACTGCCTAGCAGAACAGTTATTATAATAAAATTATAAAGAATCATGAAAATAGTGTAGTGTTTCACACAAATACAAAGAACTGGATATACGAATTAACTATTCTAGAGACGATAGAAACTGGGTGCTAAAAGAATGACACTGCTACAAGACTTTTTATTAATGCAGTTATATGTATAATATTTGTTCAAATTATGATTCCATTCCTTGTTATCTGATTTAATAACTTTTAAATGTAAAGTACTTTTTCCTGTATGTCTATACATATGTGATTCATACCTTGCATATAGTTAATTCATTGTACAATTCAGAGTATGAGACATTTTCAAAATAAAAGAGAAACATAAAAAGCACATTTCATGAGTTATAACATATAAACAACTTACATATGTCATTGTATTTTTCTGATATATCATAGAGTAAATATCCAACACAATGTTTAACTTTTTGAAATTTTAACGTAAAATTCCTATTTTCCTTTTTCAGTCGTTATTTAATCTTCTAGAATTCCGAAGGCTAGTTTTGAATTATAGTCCACCTGCAAGTGCTCAAGATCTTCCCCGAAACCAAAAGGTAAAGCTAAAAATACATATTGCTTACTGGGTAACACAGTTCTTCTCATGCTTAATAACCCCCTTAGATTTATCATATGTTTATTACAGGTGTAGAACATCCATGTATGTTTAAAATGAGTGATTTCATGGATCTTGCCAGATTTATGAAACAAGTTAAGATCCCAACCTGATGATTCATTCTCCCATAACTATTGTGTTATTAATGATATTGTCTCATAACCCTAATAGGGTTAGCATTAAAAAAAATGGTGTCAGCAACATAAAGTGTACCCTAAAGGGCCCTGCTCATGCTTTGGAAGACCAGATAGCAGTGGAGACCTATACTAACTAGGAGATTTGATACATGCAAAATGCAAATCCCCTTATATTCGTGTCAGGCTTTCTCTGTCTCATTTCATATAAGATGCCACAAGTGGTGTTTCATCATAAACATCTGTGTCATAGCAACTGTAATAAGCAGTATAATTACCCTTAAAGAATTTTGTTGGTAGTGATCATTGCTATGTGATACTGTGGAAGTGATAAATGACCTTTTCAAGAGGTACAAGATGTTAAATAACTGTGAAACTTGTCACTGTATAGTAATCTCAAGATTACTATACAGTTCCCCCTATTATTGAGTATGTTTTAGAATTTAGAAGTTGTTACTATGGCTGTTTCTCAGTGTTATTCAGGCCATTGATGTTATTCCTATCCTTTGCATAGAATGAAAGTAAAGTACTACAGATTTAGAGGATTACGAATTATTTTCTGCCCCCCCCCCCCCGATAATGCAGTTGTGCTACATTTGGGGCTCTTATCATTTCTCCATCCATGTACTTTAGAGCATTGCTTATTAACTGTGGATCCGACCTCAGATAGGGTCCCTTTAGCCCAGTGATGGGGTCCCAAAACACTAAATGTCACCTAGTCCCTGTTTTTGACATTTGTAAGAATATCTTGCGCAGTGTTTACAGTGGACTCTGCTAAAGATGCTTCATAAGAAGTAAAATCAGCCTGTTTATAAAGTGTTGCAAATGCTGATTTGTTTTCAGTAAATGCTTGATTTTATGACCTGAATATACCGTTATATTAAGGTCACATAAATATTTCTAGGGCCAAAAGGGGCCATGAGTGAAAAAGTTTAAAAACCCTGCTTTAGAAAGCTTTCTTTGGTTGGTTGGTTTGTAATGGTTTAATAAAACAATATTCAGGTAGCTTCGCTATTCAGAATTCGTTCAGAATATTTAATTTAGTAGCAATAAAAAGTGAAATTAATAAAGTAACATAATATATTACTTAAACTTATTCCAAATACAGGAACATAGAAATTTGCCTTTTATGCGTGAATTAAGATATCTATTTGCACTTCTTGCTGGCTCAAAAAGAAAATACGTTGATCCATCAAGGGCTGTTGAAATCCTTAAAGATGCATTCAAATCGAATGATTCCCAACAGGTAATGTTAATGTATTCTATTTTACTTTGAATAGAAATAAGAGTAAGAATTATAGTTGAATAAACAATGAAAACAAGAGGTTACAATAATACATTTTATTAGTCTATACAAATATGTGCTTAATGTTATCTAATTTCATGCACTTCTGTAAATCTTACACACTGAGATAAATCTTCTTGTTCAAGCCTTTATCCCATTATCCAAAAAAGCAGTAAGAAGCTTAACTGTTTTAGGAAGCTGTCGGCATAATAAAAGATTTTTATAATCTGTTTATGTTACCCATTGAAGGTGCTGTTGTTATTAACCCATTATAGATAGAAAAAGGACTACATAAGTCTGATTTTTGGGCCAAACACAAATAAGTCATAAATTGTATAAAGCATGATAGCATTTGAATGTGTTTTTTAAACAAAACAAAACAAAAACCATTCATGATACCAACAACATAAGAATTAAAAGAGTAGTTATGCTGTAATTGGAATAAAATCACAATCATCACTGACTTTTATTCATTTTAGAAAATGGAAACCCTCAGGCTAAGATTTTCAATACCATATTAAATTATTATGATAGACCCAGGATATGCATCTTCAGTTCTACGACCTAATTTTGCATGAGATGCTCCAAAATTGATTTGATATTTGTCTTTCCCCTCACTGAGCAAAGGATAATCTTTGTCATTTCTTTAGTACATTATTAACCAGTTGTCAGGACTTTCTTAAAACCCAAAGTGCTGCTATTCACATGTGTTGAAGAAGCAATGTATGGATAGATCACTGCAGCAAACAGATAGAAACAGTGTGAAATTTCTGGTTATTTTTTCTTCTACTTTAGTGTAACTACCTTTTTCTTAGCTAATTACTCAACTAATGACATGGTGCAAGTTATCAATTTAATGCTCTTGGTTCAGAATCCTGTAAAAGTGCTCATTGCTCAAAAAATGTCTTTCTTAAATTTTGAGTTGCTATGGCTAATTTTCCAATGAATGATACCCATTTTTCATCTGCATTTTCATATGACACACAGCATTGCCAGAGTGTCAAATGATCCCAAAAGACAACGTTAGCATTGTTCATTATGAATTCACTAATATTCTTTGTTTTGCGTGTATATGAACGAGAGAGAGAGAAGTAGAGAGATTTAATGTAATAAACAACATAATATTTTGGTTTGGTTTTTTAAAATCGGCATTTTGCCTTCTCACAAGAAGGCATTCCCAAGAATGTTTTCTGAGGTTCTGTAAGCATGAAATGTAGCTTAAAAATAGGGGATAATGGGTGCTCTTTGATGCTTAAGTTGTGACTATATTGAACTTGTTTAACACTGATGTGGCATTAGGGTTCATGCAGTAGAGATTAGAATGTGGTTGTGTGAATGTTTTGTTTTGTAATTCTTCCTATATATTATTGGGGATGGCATTTAATTTTGTTGTACGATGTACAATGGGAATAAAGTTATTCTATTCTTAGCGTCTTATGGGCATTATATTTCGGTTTTTCTAGTGACATCAGTGGGGGTAGAATTGACCCTAAAGTTATAATAACAAACTTGGCAACTTGTATTGATGAGAAGAGGAAGGTCTCTAGAACATCATATCACAATGCAAGTCTCATTATGTTTGAGGAATATGTACAGATCTGTAGAAAGATAATGTCTTCTAGCAATATCATTTTATATCCATGATTAGTGGAAAAACAATGCACACATAAACTCCTTTTTCTCTGGAAAAAAGTCAAACAGGTCTTGCAGTGATCCATTATTTCTGCCTCAATCTAATGTTGCCGGTAAAGTTTCTGTTTGTTGTATTGTACTGCAACACCAGCAATATCAATGTCTGTAATATCAGTACCTTATGATAAAATATTTTGTATAAGATTCCAGCTGCTTTGAAATTGGTTTGTCATGAAAGCAGTGATCTGCCGGGCCTGGCTGGACACGACATTTTATTTGCTTCTTATGCCAGTAGGAAGCCAGAGGTGGTGTTATGTTACCACTGCTGTTATGTTCCTGCCCGTGCAAATATTTGTGAGATTAGCACAATACAGGATTATATTGGTATACCGTACTCTTAGCCAGAGTTAGATTTCTGTATAATTCATTGGAATAAAAATACTATATTCATGTTCACCTTGAAATTTTTAGTGTCCTTTTGCTTGGTTAGCATTATATGCTTCCAGATCACATCGTGATCTTTCCTAGGGAGATATCACTTGCCTTTTTGGATATGTGTTAGATATAGCAGAACTAACATCTATTTATTTTATTTTTATTTGGAGCATTTATTAACCGCCATTCTCAGCCCACTCGGGCGACTCACGGCGGTGTACAGTACAAAAGGCAATTCACACAAAGACAAGTACAACAGCATATTAACCATACAACAATACAACAGTTAAAATTACACTAACTAATCCGCTTCGTCTCGTAATAGAATCGTGACCAATCTCGTATTCCTTGTACCATTCCAGTCGTCTATTATTAAAGCTGTAGAGTGTACAGAATCTATTGCAGTTGTAGATATAACTGTATATTTGTTTACTATCTCTCAACAGCAAGATGTCAGTGAGTTCACACATAAGTTATTAGACTGGTTAGAAGATGCCTTCCAAATAAAAGCTGAAGAGGAACAGTAAGTAACAGCAAGTAGCATATCCTGGGTTTCTGCATGACAGGAGCTTGTTTGGGGTTGAGAAGGGCTTCATTTCATCATCCCCACAATGGTTCTGTTTTCAGGAATTTAATGTGCTACTCATCTATAGCAATGAAAATGTTTCAGTGTATCCAATATAGAATGATATTTTAAGGATTGGTGTTAGTTCTGAGTTTTAGACTAAGTTTTAAGGAATCAGATCATTCTTTTAACTCCAGATATTTTTGATTTATATTCTTAAAACATTTGTTGTCTCTTTAGAGATGGAGAGAAGCCAAAGAACCCGATGGTAGAATTGTTTTACGGGCGGTTTCTAGCAGTTGGAGTTCTTGAAGGTACTGCTCTTGAGTGGAAACATTCTTGTCACCACACTTCTTCCATCAGAATTTTAATGATGAACAAAAATAGTGCATACAAGTTATTTCAAAAAATTTGTTTAGAGAAAAAGTAAACTGAAAATCTGAGAAAAATGTTTGGCATCCTCCAGATAACTGCAAATGGAATAAGCCGTTGCTTAACAGTATGTGTTAAACTGCAGGCTTAAAATTCCACTGACATTTGCAAAGTTGTCTGCAAACATTTCATAACAGATTATGGAAAGTACTCTTTATGATCTGTTTATCTACCATGGATCCCGATTTCAGGATAAGATAGCTTACACGTTGTCATTATGCCCCCAGATCTGCCAGTCCTACTTGATATCAATGAAGAATTACTCCTATGTATGGGGATTTGGGGCCAGGGGATTTTAGTACAGGTATACATATGTTGCTGTACTAGGATTAATTTGTCTTGTGCTGACATCAGTGTCCTTTCCTGGCAGCAGCACTGTAAAATCTTAGAAAAGTATGCTTCTTGGTCCTGGTGGGAATCCCTTTAACTAGAGATAGTAAAGATAGAAAACAAAATCTGCATACAATATTGACCCTGTCTGATTCTTAATCCTTTCTCTTGAGGCTATTTTAAACACTATTTTTGCAACTGAGACTATCCTTTACTATACAAATACAGTAGTTTCCATTGTCTAAACATCATGGATTTTGTTGATAATTCTATTTATGTATCTCTAAAGCTTGTTGTTTTTCCTTTGTATCTTCAGAAATCTCTCTTGTAAGTTTTTAAGTGGCATTGGCAGAAAAAATATTAAAAAGAATAAGGGTCTACCATAGTTTTAGACTATTTTAACTTACTATATTTTAATCTATTAACATGATTTCATCATTTAATTTATTTTACTATTGATTTCATCATTTAATTTGTTTTACTATTGTATGCCACCACAGGGTGGTGTGATATAGGGCAGGATAGGCCTATTTTAATGAATAAATCATGGATAGATATTTTACTATTGAAATCTTAACACATCCCTCTTTTGATAAGGGAAGAAATTTGAAAATGCAGAAATGTTTGGCCAGTACCCACTTCAAGTGAATGGCTTCAAAGATCTGCATGAGTGCCTAGAAGCTGCCATGGTCGAAGGGGAAATTGAATCCTTACACTCAGAAAATTCTGGGAAGTCTGGCCAGGAGGTGAGTGATATGCTTAGGCTTCTGGAGACATTTGTAACCCTTCCCGTGATGCTGACTGGGTTTTAAATATGGATGACACAAATGCAAAATATTTTGGCAGCCTGTTTATTTACTCTGATAAGATGCGTCTTCTGTTTCAGCCCGAAGTAAAAGTTCCACATATTGCATGTTAATTTGGATTAGTGAGATGCAGAATGCTTTTTCCGTTATTTCCTTTATTAAAGTTATATTTGAAAGAGACAACTTGCATAATTTTATGGGCTGTTTATTTATTGCCATGCTTCAAGCAGTAATGAAATAGAATATTCCCTAGAAAACATTTGAGACAAGCATTAGACAAGGCTTATATCTACCCCTAAAGCCACCTTTTTATTTTCCTTTAATTTGATTCTTTAACATTAACTGATTCAACTGATTTTGAAAATGACATCAACATGTTTAATATACATTTTGTGTTGAACCATTGATATTGAAAATAGTATTGTCATGGTTCATATGTTACTATGTTGATTCATTTGTTTTTGTGGACAATCTCATTTTAACCTGAGAAGTGGTCAGATGTAACCATCTTGATTGCTCTCAGAAATGTGCTTCAATTCACAGTTTTGTGGCATGTTTGCAATTCTTCAATAACCCTTTTCAGTAATCTCTTCATATTTACAATGATAATGAAGGAATGATCAGAGATGGATAAAAAGTTTAAAGGGTTAAATATATCACTCCAAGTAATATATATTATGCACAATATATCTTCAACTAAGTAGAGAACATGCTCTTGTTATTGGCGCACCTACAAAAATGCCAGGTTGCCCAACTTGGAACGGGTTATGAGAGTGGATAATATTACTGCTTGCCAAGTAAGAACTTCAACTTATCATGTCCATCTATACTATAAATACGTATCAACCACTTTCTTTTAGCATTCAGAGATTTTTAAATATTTATCTTTTGCAAAGTGTAGTCATGGCCTTCTCTGAATATGAATGAATTCAGTGTACTGTGAGTCTCAGTACCAGAACCTTACAATATAGATTTTTATCTTTTCAAATTGACAAGACTTTGAAGAAAGCTTTCTTGCCTACTTATGTATTCTGACAAAGAAACACCTCCTGCATCTGTAACTTCCAGAGCTCAAATTCAGAAAGGTTTCATTCACTGCCATGAAGCTATCACACGGAATGTTAAAATGTACAAGTGCCTGTTAATAACCAAAGATCAATGTGTTTTGATGGTGTCTTTCATACACACACACATGCACACCATCTGTTTGTGCAAAACAAAATAAGACAGCAGTTTGCTACTTAACTGAAGATGCCAAAATTCCCTTCTGAATCAGTTTGTTTCTCCATAAAACCTCAGGTTTTTTCCACAATTATTGGTTTTCTCTGTGGATAATACCTTTTTCATTTTTGTTTGTTCTGATCTTCTCTAAGGTTCTAGGATCACATCTTTCGTAAAGAGTTTCTCAGTTCATACTTACTGCATCCAAAGTTCAGCCTAGTGGGAATAAAGAGAACAGATCAATTCATTTTCTAGAAAAACAGACACTACAAAATTGAAATTACATGCATCTGACAAATTTTGATTATTATATGCTAAGGTCAGTAATTTGGATTAAATATATAATTAAAGCAAACAAAAAATGTGAGATTCCCTTCCCTCTCAAAAAAATAAAATATGGAAATATCAAGCTGTTTTAGCATTTCAATCTTATCTAAGAACAAAAAGTCAGTATGCATTACATTAAGTTCACAAAATTATCCACAGTAGTGAATTAATGAAGGAGATCATTAACTGTGAAGTAGAAATTTGTTGCTATGAAACTGTCAGTTACCACAAGAGACACGGTGCCATTTGATTTTACATCAACAGATTTATTTTGATGAAATAAGAAGGTTAATATAATTGCAGTGACACTATTGCTGTTCTTATAGAATGACATGCGAAACAAATACTGATCTTGAAGCCACACAGGAGTTTCTCTTGTCACAGTTAGAGGTACAAGGGGTAGAAGATTCTTATATTGAGTCTTCATATAATAAATTGCGTGTGTTTTCAAATTCTAGATCTGTCCATATATGTTGAGCAACATTAATTTCAGAATATGTTGGGTTTTTAGCTTTTGCTGACAATTTTTTACAGTAGATATGATTTAGTTTTTGAAAACAAATGCAACATTGTATAGCTGTAAAAATGATGCTTTATGGAAAAATTACTGTTATAATATTCTCCCAAACATGTTTTTGTTCAGATGAGTTGAATGGATATGTTATTTAAAGAGAATGTATCTAAAATGCAGTTATCTAAAATACAGTTTTGTTTTTTGCAGCACTGGTTTACTGAACTTCCTCCTGTCTTAACCTTTGAGCTCTCAAGATTTGAATTCAATCAGGCTTTGGGGAGGCCAGAAAAGATACACAACAAGTTAGAATTCCCTCAGATTTTATACCTGGACAGGTACAAGTATACTGTCTGATTCTTTGTCTCCACTATATAACCTACACTGCAATATGCAAAAAACACTAACCAATCTATCAACAACTAAAAATCAAAATGGTCATGTTTCTAAATGTAAAAGAAGGCCCTAAGTAAAGGATATGTTCCTAAAAGGTGATACATGGGTTCTGGGGCATGGAGGGCTAAATCCAATTGCTAATTCCAGCTTGAGTAGAAAAAAATAAGAATTTTTATTTAAAAAAAATTATCACTCTACAGTTCATTCAGTAGGCACACACTGGTTTGAACTAGTAATTGTGTTTACCTGTATTTAGTGGTTTCCCAAAGTTAAGTTATTATTCTTTTTTTTCTGAATTCATTGAAGTTCTGTACTTTAAGATCTTCTTGAACACAGAAATTGAACCAACAGGAACAGAATGCATTAACTATAGCAATTATAAACTTAGTTATAGTTTTTTAAAAAACTAAATATATGAATAAAACTGAAATCCCTGACTCCTTACCAAACAGCCTTTTCACTATTCTGAAAATGATACATACCGGTAGTTGTGGTATGTGAGAAAAAAATAACCTCTCTCCCATAATTAGGTGAAAGTGTGTTGTCTGAGTAAAACATTGTTGTCTGTCAATTCTGGATCCATACTACTCTTTTGTAACAAGCTGTTGGTTCTTTAATGACAGCAATTCATATTTTTAAAACTTAAAAATAGTTCATGTAGATATGTTGACATTGATCTTTGTTTATCCTGTCTTTATAAATTAAAATTTAGACAGATCATCAGGAAATTTTCAGATGACTTAAATCCAATCTGTGTTTCCCAGGGAAACAAATTTAATCAATTTAGTTTAAGTGAGTAGAAGATCAAAATATTGCTGGGCTATATTTGTCATTAGTCCTAGTTAGAAATTATGGTCTCTAATTTTGTGGTAAGTGGAACTGACTTTGAATTTAACTTGTTATTGGTAAAATACGTCATTTGTTTACTACTTTTACTTTTAACAGATATATGCACAAAAACAGAGAAATAACACGAATAAAGAGGGATGAAATCAAAAGACTCAAAGAATACCTCACAGTATTACAGCAGAGATTAGAACGGTAATATAGATCATTAATCTGATATGATGTATAAGTAATGTGGAAATTTTAGATATAATGTTTACATATCACTTTTCTTGAAAGTTTCTTTGATATTGTTTTTAATTCTAGTTTTAAAATGCATTAGCACTGCAAAAAAGTAGAATTTCATTTGAGGAAATTTTTGTTGCTCTGAGAGTAAACTTAGGAGTAAGGAGTGTAATAGGACTTCTGTAGAATTAGAAATATTCAGTGTCAGTTTAACTCAGAAGTACTTACGTTAACTGTCAGCACATTTCAGTTGGGATTTCTCCTTCTCCACCTACAGATATTAAGGTTTGAATTAAGCATTATTAACATGTAAGGCACCTGCATTGCCGAGCTGTTTTGTTTCTTTGTGATATTTATTTATTATTTATTTGGGATTCTTGTACCCCGCCCTTCTCACCCCGAAGGGGACCCAGGGCGGCTTACAGCTGCAAGGCGCACTTAGACACCTGCCATACAAACAATCATCATAAAATACCGCGATACAAATTCCCACAATTCAGCATAATCCAGTAAGATCAATAAAAGATAAAAACAGTAAAGCAATAAAACATACAAACCTAGATCTTCCTTCTACCCATCAGTGTTCATTAACTCAAGGGTCTGTTTCGATTCCATTTCAACAACCTGCTGATCTTACACATCTGGTTGTCATATTTAGTTGTCTTCTCTAGTTGCCTGGTTGCCCGAAGGCCTGGTTCCACAACCATGTCTTCACCCTCCCCCTGAAAGAGAGGAGGGTTGGTGCTGTTCTGATTTCCCCTGGGAGTGAGTTCCACAGGTGGGGGGCCACCACTGAGAAGGCCCTGCTTCTCGTCCCCACCAGCCTCACTTGTGACAGTGGTGGGGTCGAGAGCAGGGCCTCCCCAGATGATCTCAAACTCCGAGGTGGGACGTAGAGGGAGATACGTTCGGACAGATACACTGGACCGGAACCGTAAAGGGTTTTGTAGGTCAAAACCAGCACCTTGAATTGTGCTCGGAATTGAACCGGCAGCCAGTGGAGCTGGCACAACAGGGGGGTGGTGTGCTCCCTGTATGTCGCTCCGGTGAGCAATCTGGCTGCCGCACGTTGGACTAGTTGTAGTTTCCGAACAGTCTTCAAGGGCAACCCCACGTAGAGCGCGTTGCAGTAGTCTATCCGGGATGTAACAAGAGCGTGGACCACCGTGGCCAGATCAGACTTCCCAAGGTACGGGCGCAACTGGTGCACAAGTTTTAATTGTGCAAAGGCTCTCCCAGCCACAGCTGAGACCTGGGGTTCCAGGCTCAGCTGTGAATCCAGGATCACCCCCAAGCTGCGAACCTGCGTCTTCAGGGGGAGTGTAACCCCATCCAACACAGGCTGTAACCCTATACCCTGTTCGGCCTTGCGACTGACCAGTAGGACCTCTGTCTTGTCTGGATTCAATTTCAATTTGTTAGCTCTCATCCAGTCCGACACAGCAGCTAGACACCGATTCAAGGTCTGGACAGCCTCCTTGGTGACAGGTGGAAAGGAGTGACAGATCTGGACATCATCCGCATAGAGATAACACCGCAGTCCGAAACTCCGAATGATCTCCCCCAACGGCTTCATGTAGATGTTAAACAACATTGGGGACAGGATAGAACCCTGAGGGACTCCACACGACAATGGTTGTGGAGCCGAACAGGTGTCACCCAGTAACACCTTCTGGGACCTTCCCTCAAGAAATGACCGGAGCCACTGCAAAGCAGTACCCCCAAGTCCCATTTCCGAGAGGCGTCCCAGAAGGATACCGTGATCGACGGTATCGAAGGCCGCTGAGAGGTCCAGCAGAACTAACAGGGACACACTCCCCCTGTCCAGTTCCCTGCGCAGATCATCTACCAAGGCGACCAAGGCTGTTTCCGTTCCATGTCCCGGCCTAAAGCCAGACTGTGCCGGATCAAGATAATCAGTGTCTACCAGAAATCCCTGGAGTTGTGCCGCCACCACACGTTCCAGGACTTTGCCCAAGTAGGGGAGATTGGAAACTGGCCGATAGTTGTCAAATTGAGTGGGGTCCAGTGATGGTTTTTTCAACAGCGGTTTGATAATAGCCTGTTTTAGACTCGCTGGAATCTTGCCCTCCTGTAAGGAGGCATTAACCACCACCTTCACCCACTCCGCCAAACCCCCTCTGGCTTCTTTTATAAGCCAGGATGGACAGGGGTCTAGGATGCATGTGGTAGGCCGCACCTCTCCAAGGATCCTGTCCACATCCTCAAGCTGAACCAATTGAAAAGAATCCAACAAAACCTGACAAGCAGATGCTCTCGCTACATTCTCAGAGACTGCAGGTAAGGTGGTGTCAAAACCCGACCGGATCCGCCCAATTTTATCTGCGAAAAATCGAGCAAACGCTTCACAGCGAGCTCCCGAGCTGTCCGGGATCTCGCTTTTCGGCGGATTTAACAGACCCCTGACAACTCGAAAGAGCTCAGCTGGACGATTCTTCGCAGACGCAATATTGGCAGCAAAAGATGTTTTTTGTGCTGCCTCTATTGCCACACCGTAGGACCTTAAAAAGGCATTCAGATGTGTTTGGGTTGATTTAGTCGGGTTTTTGCGCCACACGCGCTCTAGCCACCTCTTCTTTCGCTTCATTGCTGCCAGCTCCTCGGTAAACCAAGAAGCCGGATTAGCTCGGTTACTCGAGAGGGGGCGTTCTGGAGCGATTGTGTCGATTGCCCTGGTCATCTCGGTGTTCCAGTGAGAGACCAAGGCATCGACAGGGTCGCCAGCCAGGGAGGTGGGAAATTCCCCAAGAGCCGTCAGGAAACCACTAGGATCCATCAGTCTCCTGGGGCGGACCATTCTAATGGGTCCACCACCCTTGCGGAGGTTGGGAGGAGCAGTCAGTCTAAACCTAATCAGGTAGTGATCGGTCCATGACAAAGGAGCGATGGTTAGCTCCTCCACTCCGACACTATCACCCCAACCCTGTGAAAAGACCAAATCCAACGTGTGTCCGGCAGTATGGGTAGGACCAGATACTAATTGGGACAGGCCCATGGTTGTCATGGCGGCCATAAAGTCCTGAGCTGCACCTAATAGAGTAGTCTCGGCATGGACGTTGAAATCCCCCAGGACGAAAAGTCGCTGGGAGCCCAACGCCATGTCCGAGACCACCCCTGCTAGCTCAGGTAGGGAGACTGTCATGCAGCGGGGTGGTCGGTACACTAACAGAATCCCTATCCTGTCCCGGTCACCTAACCTAAAGCCGGCACATTCAAATGATGATGATTGTGGGATGGGGCACCTGATCAGGGGAATAAAATCCTTATAGACCACTGCAACTCCTCCTCCCCTCCCTAGGAAAGGCTGGTGCTGGACAGAGTAACCTGGCGGGCAAAGTTGGGAGAGATTCACACCTCCCCCCTCGTCCAGCCAGGTCTCTGTTATACATGCCAGGTCGGCCTGTTCCTCCTGGATTAGATCTCGAATAATGGAGGACTTTCCATTTACCGACCTGGCATTGAACAGCACCACCCTCAGCCCAGAGGGACCACCATCCTGACATCTCAGCTGATAGAATGAGGTACTCATAAAATGTAAACCTGTTTTTGTACTTTTTATAAGTTATATTCAGTACAGTGTTAACTTTCTCTATTGGATGTCATTTGTGGTCACTGGTTCCCCAAAATTAGGCAAAGTCAAATGCAACAAATGTTTGTGATTTTTAGAACCATCCAGGACTGTATGAGAGCTGCAATTTCAAACACTAGGTGGACAATCACCCGTCTGTCTTGTGTTCTCTACCACAAACATATTGCCACTGTAGTTCATGAGACAGATTTTTTTCAATAATTCAGAGTTTATGAAATGTAATTAAAGCATGTGTTTGGAAGGTGTTTCTTATGTAACAATAGTATTTATTTTTACAGGTATTTAAGCTATGGTTCTGGTCCTAAACGGTTCCCTTTGGTAGATGTCTTACAGTATGCACTGGAATTCGCATCAAGTAAGCCAGTGTGTAAGTCTCCTATTGAGGATCTTAATACTAGTGCTCTTCCTAGTGGTGCTTTGTCAACACAGACAATGCCAAGGTAAAAAGCCTTCATGACTACTCAATATTTTGATTATGATTTGCTTAAATACAGGAAATTGGTAACTTACTGAATGACCAAGTGGGATGTTTGTGTGGTTTGCCCAGCTATCAGTAACTCCCTCTTCCCAGCAGTAACTCCCTCTCCCCCACTAGTTCATTCAGCTTCTACTCTGTTTATGTGGAAAACTCAAGGTAAACTACAATAGACCTGTGAACAGATACATATAGGCCTTAAAGCTAACACAGATAGGAATATTATTATATGATATAATTAGTATTTGATAAACAAGAGATAAACTTTCACCAATTCCAAAAATATAGCTCAATATGCCCCATCTCATTTGAGATACGTTGACTTATTCTTCAAGAAAGGTTTGTGTTGTACAAATGTCTTTTTAAAACTTTGTTTCAAATTTTCTTTATTGTTAATTTCTCCCCAAAAGAGTTACTACTGAATATTCTAGAAAAATACTTCATTAAGGAGACATGAGGGATTTGTATAATAGATAATCCATGGGAACTTATATACTGCTTTGAAATGCTAAAGTTCCAGAAGGCTAGAGGGATGTACGCAGGATTGTATAGGCATAGATTTTCAGGTATCCCAGCCATTTCATTTGAGCTTCAATTAACTCTACATTTACCTTTAAATTGTAAGAGTAAAACTTGAATTGAAATGGGGGAGACCTGAACACCACACGACAATTGAAGCCTCATTGTGGCTGAGAAGTACCGGCTTATGGCATTTCAGATGTCTGGCACATACCACATTTACTTGAGTCTAATGCTCACCTTTTTTGGCTAAATTACAGTACCAAACTTGAGGTGCACATTAGATTTGATGGCGTGTCAGAGTCACACACATAAACCCACCTGTGAAAAGGCCAAAGGAAACCAAAACCCGAAAATTGGAAATGGAGGTTTGAGGGTGTGAAGAGGCTGTTTTTGGTGGCGGCGGCGGCGGCAGAGCCTCAGGGGTCTATGGCACCAAAAGAAGGATGAGGAGTACTTAGGTGGGGACCCAGACAGTTCTGCCGCTTAGCCATGGATCCTGACTCCTAGGCTGCCCCCAGGGTCTCTCGCTCACCCACCCCCTAGGCTCAGTCCCATGTGATTCCCAACTGGTCTCATTCATGAGGCCTTTAAACCACTCCCACCCCCAATAATCAGTTTTCTAGGCCTTGTTAATGAAGCCAATTGAGACTTGTGGGCATGGCTTCCTAAATGGCCTCACTCATGCTGTCTGCCTCCCTGGCACGCTATGCTGCGCTGTTAAGCACAACTCATTCAAAGACAAATCCATTTATTGTAACATGCAGCTTCAAGATTAAGGTACACATTACATTCGATGGCACATTATACTCGAGTAAATGAGGATATTTGCTGGATCCTACCCATCCACTCCCTACTCCTACCATGGACTGTCTGGATGCATTTAATCATGACTGTCAAGAGAGGGTTGAAGAGGTTTTGCAATTTCAAGGATGAAGAATCTTCCTTTTTTTTTACCAATATGGAGTATCTTTTGCAATGATACCTTGAGTTGGTTTATTTACACTGAATGTTTCACAATTTTTAATAAATGTAGCACAACAGAACAACAGGGGCCTTCTACGGAAATACAAAGCACATCACCTGCACAACGATCAGTAATTCACAAGCCCTTCACGCAGTCTCGGATTCCTCCAGACCTGCCAATGCATCCAGCTCCAAGACACATAACAGAAGAAGAGCTTTCAGTGCTGGAGGGCTGTTTGCATCGTTGGAGGACAGAAGTAGAAAACGACACTAGAGGTATAATTTGGGAAATTGGGCTATGGATTCACAGATGTGTTTATTGCTAGCGCACATAATTTTTAATTCAAACTTCTGGATGGGAAGTCCAGAATATAAAGCAAGGAAGCCCTCAGGGAAATCTCACTGGTCTTTCAAGAGTTATTGGTATGGTGTTAGAACACCACAGCCTTGTAATATAGGGCTCAGATGAAACTTACAGCCATAACCTTTGGCCTTATACTCAGCTTGTAAAGCCCAGAATGTCAGTTCTTTTTTTTTTAATTGTACTGTCTGTAATGGCAGCTATGGTAAAGAAATCTCCTGTGCGGTAAATGTACAGGCAGTTTGAAAACATAACACGAATGCGTCCTATATGCACAAATAAAAGTGGAGCAAAATGGGCCACTATGGCCTGCCCTTCAATGCATTTAGACCAGTGATTCTCAACCTGTAGGTCCCAAGATGTTTTGGCCTTCAGCTCCCAGAAATCCTAACAGATGGTCAACTGACTGGTATTTCTGGGAGTTGTAGGCCAAAACACCTGGGGATCCACAGGTTGAGAACCACTGATTTAGACTAAAGGTCGTGTAATCTGTCACTATTGGCTATACTGGTCAGAGCTGATGATCACAAAAAAATGGGAAGGCCGTATTTGCCAATCTCTGGAGTATGCAAATCACTGTATAAACATGAAGGAATTATATGAACATCCAAATGTTACTGCTGTTTATATAGGTGTGAAGTAATACCAACAGAAAATGTTAATTCTGTGTGCATCTGAGAAGCTTGAAACAGAGAAAGCCTTGGAAACAGAGAAAAATAGCTACCCTGCACAAGAAGGTATAACATACCTAAGGGAAGTGCATGGAGGGACTAGTAAAAATTATATTGCCAGTTAGAAGATGTTCTAAAAATGGTACCTGAATTAATTCAAAATATTTTTAAATGCAGGGTAAAAAATAATCCGTTTTTCAGTATTTAAACTAACCAGTAGTCATTGTGTTTATGTTTTGTGTAAAAAAAATCTTTTTATTTTTCTCTCACGTTAGACTTGCAAGAAAGCATAGCAAGAATACAGCGTACAATTGAACTAATGTATTCTGACAAATCAATGGTGCAGGTTAGTATAATTTCTATAAGAAATATAACATGTATTTTTATAGTGAATTAGTCGAGATTCATATAGACAGTATAACCTATGTATTTTAAGTGAGATTAATCAAGATTCTTAGAAATCTGCCAACCACTATGCAGTGCCCCATCCTTAATTTAAACTTTATTAACTTTTTTTAGACCGAAATATGAACACATCTACACAAGTATTCCCCTTCCTAGACACCATTGTTCATTTATTTACCTCAGAAGGAACCAGACTTGGTCCTCACAAGCTAAGTTTTTCTGTATTTGTTAAATTTTTATCCCATTCAACTCTTCTACCAAATGATACAATCTGGGCCTGACTTCAAGATATACTCTTGCATGTATTGGCTACATGATAGTGGTCCTGCTGGTGAAAATGTGTTGACCATATACCATATCATGCAGTATTTCATTTTTACAAAATAACAACAACAACCACAATTGGTAATGTTATAATCTCATTCCTTTCAAAGACTGTCATTCCTGTGATTTAATTTAAATTTTCTCTTACATTTAGCTATTTTGGACATGTGTATAATAAAAAGTACCTAAATCCCAGAAAACAACAACAAAACCTACTTACTACTATTTTTTATTATTTAATTATATCCCTCCTTTTTCCTCATTTTTTCCCTAAAACACAGCACAGTTCATGAAGCACACAGCCACATGATAGTACTATAGCTGTAGCTCGGGTTCACTTGAAAAACATACTTTTTCACCTGCAAACTTCTTAATTATGGTTGCCTGAGTCATTTGCTCCAGTCTTAAACCAACTGAATTTATTCTAAGTAAAACTTGTATAAGATAATGTTGTGAATATAGAAGTATTAAATATGCCCATAAAGTTGTAACGGGTCTTGAGTGACATTGGAAAAGGTTGGTTTATTTTGTTTTTGTTGGATTTTTGGGGGAGGGGTGTGGAACTGAACCTAGTTAAGTGAGCAGCAAAAGGTGCTTCTACAGTATGTGAAGGAACATTTCATAACACCCCCCTGAATTTGAATAATTCAAACAGAGGGAAAGAGGCAGATTTCCAGGAGTCTATATTTTCTCATAATGATAGTTATCTCCAAATCCAAGGAGCCGAGGAGGCTAAGTCAAAGGGGGGTCCTACTCCATGCCAGAAGGCTGCACATGCTGAAGACCCATTACCATCATTCATTGAGTGATAAAGGGCCAATGAGAGATTATGCTGCTCTCTGGTTATTAAGTAGGAGATGCTGTCATAATTTGACACCTCATGTTTAGGGGCAGTTGTCTATAAATCATACATCTACTCCCTGGCAGCTTTGATGTTTTCAACCTGGCAGCTTTGGTGTTTTTAACTATTTGAATGTAATTTTCCTGCTTCTTGCCAAGGGGTTGGAATGGATGGCCCACAAGGTCTCTTCCAATTCTATTATTCTAACCTCTTTCTTGACAACTAACAGTACTCTTCCAAGTTGGTGCTTTCCTGACCTTGGACGTGATACCATTTAAGACCTTGTTTTACTACTTGCTGACTTTTTTGTTTAGACTATTAGCAAAAAAAAAAAAAAAAACTGAAACCACTGACAATCAGCTTCCTGCTTCTGCATTCATTCTTTGACTGACCTGGAGCAAATTAACTACTTAATAGCTCTTGTATTCTAACATTCTAATTCCTGGAACATTTGCTGACTGCAGCATAGAACAGAATAGATAGAATGAGAGTATAACTAAGTTGTTACTGTGATCTTTGATTTTTAACCTGATAGATCTGCTTCCTCTTTCATTTTTTCCTATTTTCCTTTTGTTTATTATGACCAAAATTGTTAAGTATTATCTCTTGATGATATGTTACTTAGGTTCCTTATCGGTTACATGCTGTATTAGTTCACGAAGGCCAGGCGAATGCAGGACATTATTGGGCATATATTTATGACAGCTACCAAAGGAGGTGGATGAAATACAATGATATATCTGTGACCAAGTCTACTTGGGAAGAGCTTGAACGGGACTCTTTTGGTGGTTACCGGAATGCAAGTGCTTACTGTTTAATGTATATCAATGATAAGGAACCTTTTTTGATACAAGGTAAATAATGTGCAGAATGCAGAGATTCAGTTTTACTTGCTTTGTTTCATATGATAAAGACATAAATGATAGACTCTGTAACCCTTAATCTCTTCTTGACATCAGAAAGACCAGAGTACTGCTAGTTTATAATTTTGCTTCTTGAGTATTAAAGTGTATCTATTTGAAACAAATGGCTAAAGGGTTGCTGGTAATGGGCAAGAAATTGGGAGGATGGCTACTTCTATGGCCCACACAATAAACATAGATATACAGCAATGTAGATAGAAGAGCCTTGCTTATTTAGGGTTCATTATAAAAATGTATATCATTAATGTATACATTAGAGTGGAAAACAAGCTGTTTTTTTTATTTCATTATATTTCCATAGCTATGCCATGTGTGTTACTGATTTAGACATCTGGGTTTAAAATATTTTATAAAAACCTGTGTGCATGTTGCTTTTCATATTCTTTAATGGATAGAACCTATATGTTGCATGTTGTTACAGAAGAATTCAGCAAGGAAACAGGTCAAATGGTTGTTGGAATCGATACGTTGCCTCCTGATTTAAGAGATTATGTCAGAGAAGACAATAAACGTTTTGAAAAAGAGTTAGAAGAATGGGATGCCCAGATTGCACTGAAAGCACAAGAAGAAAAAGCATTAATATCCCAAGCAGCCAGGGTGCCTGTGCCTTTCACTGCTCGAGGTTAGTAAGGAAAATAACCGACTCACCCGTTTTCTCTTCCTTTTTTCATCAATACTCCAACCTGTTATTTTGTAAAATCAGAGCAACAAGAGCATTCAGAAGTGAATGCCCAATGCAAGATTACTTTGATGGTACACTGGTTTAGTTACCAGTCCTCTCTCCCCAGTAGCTGCTTACGTTTCCATTAGGACATGTAAATATGTAAATAAAATGCAAAACAATAAATAATGTTTTCCTTTGATTGAGAAGTAATCATACTGCAAATTTGGGGCGGGGGGGGGGGTCTAAGTTTATATTTTAGGCCATATACTTGCAGTTAGGTATCATCAGAAATATTGGTCTGGGTCAGATGTCACAATAAGCCAGGGTTCTAAAGAATTACATTTTGTTGGAAATGAATAAAATGTATTCATGTCCACAAGAAAGCAGTGTTGCTCCTGCTTGACTGCCCCTCTTAATGAGACAGTCCAAACATCCTACAGACCCTCTATTCACAATTTGTTTGTGATATTCAAACCAGAGGCTGTGGCTTGTGCCTGACTCTTTGTATACGGTTTAACCCACTGCCTCTTAAACTGTGGGTACCAACAGTTGGGGTCCCAGTATTTTTCTGAAGTTCATCTAGTGACTCTTTCATACATCTGCACAAAACTGTTGTGCAGTGTTTACAGTCTACTCTCTAGAAGATGCTTCAGCTGTACATCATAAAAAGGAAAATCAGCCAGTTTAATGAGGCAAATTTTTAATTTTATACCTATATTAAATACCTATATGCCCAAAGTTATGTAAAAATTTCTGGGGCCAAAAGGAGTTCCGAGTGGAAAAGTTTAAGAAGAAGCCCTGGTTTAACCTACCTTGCATATTTATGACTCTTACACTATATGATTGTTCAGATGAAAAAAATGCTGCCTCTGGTAAAATACCTTGGTATGCTAATGTTCTTATTTTAGTAGTATAATGAGACAAATTAAAACCCCAGTACTTCAGCGTGTGAAGCCAAAATTTTGTTTGTTGTTTTCACTTAGCAATTCCCAGTCTTCATTTGAATGGGAATATGTTTCAGGAACTTGTAGAGCAAGTTCATGGGAATTGTGTGAACTTGTTTGATCCCTACTGGGCTTCATGTTTTAACAGTAGACTCATTGGTCTGTGTCCTAATAAACATACTATTTTTGTCCTTAAGAATATAGAATGTTTACTGTTTACCCTTTCCCACCATTCAAGGAGAAGAGCCAGAATACTTGGAGCAACCTTCAAGGACTGATGTTTCAAAGCAGCTGAAAGAAGATTCTATACGAGCCATCACAAAAGCATTTACTGAACAAGAAGATAAAAATCCTGAAACAGTTATGAATGTGGTAAGACATGAAAAATATGGATGTCATCTAAACGTGTTTACTGTGCTCATGAGTTACACTCAACTGTAATTTAGAGCAGGGGTGGGAATTATGAAAAGGGAGCCCTTTTGATTCAAAAGTCCTGAGATCATTTAAAAAAATTCCAACAGAATTTAACAACAGAAAATCATCTCTTTCCCAATGTACATATACAGCCCATCATCTGGAAATGTTTCCTAGAATGTTACTTTTGATTTTGGTTGGCAGGAACCCAAACTCTCATGCCTGATTTGAAGCAATATGCTGGGTGAGCTGCCTGCTTCTCTATTTCCTCTCATTTGTGTTTGGAAGCTGCTGCTTCTGCTTTCAGTTAACCATGGCTTATCAAGATCTCTACTTGGAAAGCCATATTCAAATTAAACATATGGAAGGTTACCCATGTGAGATCAGTAATCTGAATAAAAGCTATCACAGTATTGTAATACAGAATCACCCCCTGATAGGGTTAGTAGATTAAAACTGGCCCTTTGAATTGAGCTCCAAAATAAGCCAGCAGAGAGAGGAGCTATTGCAGAAATGGAGGAGTATAGTCTCTGTAAGCCAGGGGTCCTCAAACTAAGGCCTGGGGGCTGGATGCGGCTCTCCAAGATCATTTACCCAGCCCTCACTCAGGGTCAACCTAAGTCTGAAATGCCTTGAAAGCACACAACAACAATCCTATCTCATGAGCCAAAAGCAGGCCCACACTTCCCATTGAAATACTAATAAATTTATATATTTAAAAAATTGTTCTTCATTTTAATTATTGTATTGTTTTAAAATGGTTTTTGCACTACAAATAAGATATGTGCAGTGTACATAGGAATTCATTCATGTATTATTCAAATTATAATCCGGCCCTCCCAACAGTTTGAGGGACTGTGACCTGGTCCTCTGTTTAAAAAGTTTGAGGACCCCTGCTGTAAGCAATCCCACTAAACAATCTGGTTGCAGTTCTTTGTACCAGTTGAAGTGTTCAAATACTCTTCAAAAGCAGCTTTATGTAGATCATGTTAAAGTTATAAGTCGAATATAGCCAAGACATGTGTTTCCAGGGGCCGAAATTTCTAGAAACAGGCTGAAATAGAGCTTTTGTTTTTTGCTTTTAGTTAGTCATGACTTGCCATGTTAAGCACCTAATCAAGCCTGTTCAAGTTGAATTTACCAGGGTATCTAAGTAAAATCAGAAATGGGAATTAAGTTCATTGCAATATTTTTGAATTGTCTCAAATAATCAAAAACTGCTTTGCAATTCTTCACAATATTAGATGACAGTGTAACCTGTAATATATTCCCAATTATGTAAATGAACACAGTAATTATTTTGCTGTTTGTTTCTCTTTGTTTGTTTGCTTTTTGTTGTTGTTACTTATTTCAGTGGTATCATTTGCTTAAAAATGCAAGAATCTGAGGAACTATTGGTATTTTTCTTTATTAAACTATTTACAACCCACCATTATTGAAAGGGATCAGAAATCTTCAAGGCTATTATCTGAGAGGCTTTTATAAAGTTGAGAAGCACTACCTTTTCCCTAATTGTATTTCACTCTAGAAAGAGCCTTTAGTCCTTTAGAACAAATGTTCAGGGTGTAAGCCAATGACCACTCTCTCAACCTCAGAAAAAGGAAAAGGCAAATTCTCCTCTGAATAAATCCTGCTCTGAGAACCCCATGATAGGTTCATCTTGCCATGAGTCAGAAACAACTCGAAGATAAACAAGAGCTGCAGTAGGATAGAAATGAAAAGGATAGAATCCCTTCTTTTTTCCTGCTTTGGCAGAATGAGATTCTTTGATATCATAATTTAGACCAGGGTACGAAGCCATTGGACCTCCATGTGTTGATCACCTGTTATTTCCACCCAGTTCCCCATTCACTAAACTGGTTAGGACTGATGGTAATTGGAATTCAACAACATGGCCACAGGAATCCCAGCTGTGTTCAAAACCTAGATTTTAGGACCTTGTCACATATGCGACTGGAACCAGCCAGTCTTGCTTCGTTTCAGCATTGCCTGCCCAAGGGGGCATGGAGTCCTGTCACCCTATGCCCTGCTCTGTCCTGGATTCCCCTCATCACATGGGGAAGGAAGGAGAGCCAGGAAGGTCCCTTGCTATGGCTTGTCTCCAGAGCCCTGTGCAAATGGTGGACCCTTGCCCCAGTGAGAGAGGGTCCCTCCCACCACACACACACATGTGCCGTGGCTCCTTTCTTCCTACCTCCATGGTGCTGACCCTCCTGTGTCTCCTGCTTTCCCACAGCATCAGATTTTCCAAACCCCTCCACCTCCACTTCATGCTCAACTCCCTGGAGCAAGAGAGGTCTGCTAGCTTCATTTGCCAGTCAAGCCTCCCCTCAGCGTAACCTAGCAACTGTGGCCAGCACAAGAAGGGCACCTCTCCAAGATTCCCAGAGGCCACATGTGGGCTCAGCTGCCATTCCCGGTCTTCCTGGAGGGGAATGTGGCAGATAGATGGCCCTCTCATCTCTGGCCCCAGGGCCCCCACATGAAGGGAAGCTGTCCCCCGCCACCATGGGGCCACCCCCACCTTCATCCTGTTTTGAAGGGAGAGGATTGGGAGGGAATGGCGGTTGAGAGAGTGGGAATTTCTCTTTGGAATGGCTGTAGTGAGGAGATGAGACAGGAAGATGCCCTGTGTGCTAGGAGCAATGGTGAGCTGCCACTTCACACTCCTGGTACACAAGACTTCCTCCTATCTCTCCTCCACTCGCTGCTACTAAATCCACTCCAAAATGATAGCCTCATAAGTCCACCCATGGGGCATTGGGAGCTCTCAACCCACGTAGTCCCAGCTTCCCCCTTCCCCATCATACAGTAAAAAGCCTAAATAAGCCGCCTCAACCTGCTTTCCCTTATGGAAAGACGGGAAGCCTCCCATTGTGCGCCGCTGGCTTTTTTTCGCTGCAGCAGGGGTGTTTTTCTAGTCAGCCATGGAGCTGCCCTGAAAATACTTGTTATGGGTATGATGGGACCCATCAGGCTCTGGCCAAACTTGAAAAACTACATAGCTGCCACTGAAAAGAAGCTCATGTGAAGAGGTCCATAGATGAGAAAAATTGATCAGTGTTCTGATATCACTTCTTCCTCTGTGTAGACATTGATTGTGCTTAAAGTTTCCATTTAAGGATTGGTATGTTGTCATTTTTAGTGACCGCTACTTGCTCTGTTAACTAAGTAGTGTTCACAAACACAGTTCTTTTTTAAATGTCAAGCTTTTTACACATGACAATCTTTGAACAGAAGGTTTTGTTTTCTTCTTGAATTTGAAGGAAAAGGGACTACATGAGGTTTAACTTTGCATTCGTGCATTCCCCTCACTGCAACAAAGTGCGGTTTTGTTGTAATGTCAAAGTTGTTGGTATTGCTCCAAAGGCATAGGAAAGAGACTAAAACACAAGAAGTTATTGATAACTCTTATTAACTAAATGTTTTCTAGTAAAGATTGGATATTGTGCTCCTCTCTCCATGTGGATCACTATTTTGAGTGTGCCTTCATTTTTAATTTTAAACCATTTGCTTTCATTTTTAAAATGTTGTGAGTAGAATATAAAGAATAAGATTGATAATCAAAGCAATTTATCCTGTTAGTTGGGTAAGTTTGCCATCCTTTTTTCTTTCATGTTTTCCCTTACCTGATTTTTTCCCCTACAGAAATCTGATAGCACCCAAGTTCCAACTGCTCCTAACCAGAAAGTTGTAGAGGTGGCGATTCCTGATGTAGGGACTTATGTGATTCAGTCAGAGCAGGGAGGTTATGATGATGAGGTACCACCATAGTCACAGATTTCTGTACCATTCATGCACTGCCTGATAAGAGATCTTTGGCATGCTTGCACATGGTGACAGTTAACTATCCTCTGTCTTTCTAAATGCTTACTTCAGTCTGTACCAACTTACTGCAATTCGCAAAATGATGAATTGATCATTGTTGCTTATCTTTTCCAGTGGCATATGCATGGTGTGCAACTAAAGTGAACTGAACTCGCCCACAGATAAAAAAAATAAAAAGACCCTTGGCACATCATTTTTGACAAGATTTCATAATTCTGTTTTTGAGGCCCATGTTTTAAAGTTATAGCTTGAATTGAATTTACTATTTTCTCCACTTCAACTCTAAAAAAATATAAACTCAACATTAAGAAGACTTTTATCAGGACCAATCCAATATGTATGCATGGTGGGCGAGTATTTGAAATCTTTAGATTGCTGTATCAGAAAACATATGACTACAAATCTAAATGGGCACACAGTTATGTTCTAATGAGGTAGAAATGAGGTATGTTATCCCGTGGGATGTTATTGGGCTTCAGTTCTCTGCTTCAGCCACTAAGGCTAGTGGTCAAGGATGGTGGAGGTTAACAGCCAGCAGGGCCAGGATTTCACTGTTTGTGAAATATATTATTTATCTTTGTATGTTTGACTCTCTCTCTACCCCCCCCCCCCCCCAAATTGACCAGCATATCCCTTTTTAATTAATTCGGTAGATTTTATTGGTAGCACTTTTCAAAAACATAATCTAATACAAAAACCATTGGATATATTAGACTGTGAAGAGTCAACTGAAGTTCCCCATTACCTTACTAGGAGATCTTAGGAAATAAAACAAGGGAACACAAAATAGATTTGCCCAAAGGCCTAGGTGACATTGAAAGGTATTCAATGACATTAGAAATTTGGTACAGAAAAACATTTATTCCTGTGCCAAAAATAAATTTAGTTTGGAGTACAATGAATTCCAAGTATAATTTTAAATTCCAACTCTTGCAGTAATTTGCAAACAGTTTATTTTTGTCTAGAAAACACCAAAAGAATCCATTTCAGTGCTAATCCATTGTGTATTATTACATGCACAAAATGGAATTTATGATTCAAGCCAAATGCAGGGCTGTTTTTCCAGGTGCTACTTCTATTGTCAATACTTTTTATGAGAAATTACTTTTTACTATACTCATACTATACTTCTCCTTGGTGCCTACCGACACCTAAAGAAGTTGATATACTGTGTACAAATATCCTCAAAGAAAGTAGACTAACAGGCAGGTTATCTACTTCAAACACCTTTGACTGATTTGTGAAAGAAAATCCTGGGTGTTTAAAGTGGGGACAAAAGACTGCACACTTGAATTTAGTAGGTATCATTTCACCTCCAGTTGACCATGGGAGTTAAGAACTACCATGTGGTTCCATTCAGTTCGTGACTCAAAAGAGACAAGAATTATTGATGGACAATACATCCACTAAGCAGGCTCTTTAGCCTTAATACCCCCCCCCCCCCATGGTTGTCTATGGGAAATACACTGGCTGAGCTGATAGCATAGCTTTAGCTAATAGGATCCCAATGAATGCTCTTGCCAGGCAATACCACACGCTCAGTATCTAACATACTGTAAGAAGTTGAAAATGATTGTTGCGTTTGCATCCTAATTCTGAACATCCTAGATATTTGTTGCTTCCTATTGTTGGAATTGAGCGTTTGGAAGACCTAATTCTATTTCTTTTTACATCTTTATTAAATCATTTTATAAACATATTGAAACAGTGTTCAGTTGCTTACCTCAGAAGCTGTTCAGTGCTCTGTTTCAGGCAGAACATTTTAATAAGATTAGAGCAAAACACATTGACAGTGTGATAATACAGTGAGTCACATTAAATACGTACAAATTATCTGCAATTGTATATGTTCTGAAATTAAATTCGTTCTGCAAGCAGTTGATTTCTTGTTTAGAAAGTGAGGAATTGTTACAAGTGTGGCAAACTAATTCAGCTTGCTAACAGCTCATCTTCAAGTTTTGCATGTGTGCAAAGCTATCTCCTCTTAAGTGCTTTTATTTTCCTGTTATAATTTTAGCAGAAATCTTAAGTTACATAATTACTGTGCTGGAGATGTGTAGGAATGCAATGATTTCAAGTCCACTGATATGCTGAAATGCTTGCCACTGCAGTATATGCATGCAGGTGTATATGGCATGAATATAGTATAAAGGCACACAGTGACTTGAATTTACATTTCTCATCATTCAAAATGTCTATCTATATATCTATATATATTAAATCTCCTGTGACAGGTCATGCTGACCCCGAACATGCAAGGTGTTATCATGGCTATAGGTAAAGCCACGAATGTGTATGACAAATGTGGGCCCGAAGCAGGGTTCTTTCAGGTACAACCACCATTTTCAACTTTTTTCCCCTCTGATTGTTTTTGTACATTAATAATAAAAAACATGACTATTCTTGCAGTTTTCCTTTTATCAAACAATTAAATGCTTTGATTTGTTTTTCCTGGAAAGATAAACATATTAGCAGCTTCTAGTATTTTTAGACACTGTTGTAAATGTAATCAGTTCTTGTGTGTTCTCACACAAAGATAAGAAAAATTAAACAATTCAATGTCCAAATTTATGGAGCAAATATTGACAATTTTTATTTGAATTACAGAAGTGTGATCAAGTGTTTACAGAATTAAAGAAATGTGATCAAAACTGCCTAATTAACACACTTGTCTACTAGCCTAGGAGTAGTAGATCTTAGATGGTTACATAGCAAACTTTCATTGTTGAATTTTGAAACAATTACTGTATATACTCAAGTATAAGTCAAGTTTTTCAGCCCTTTTTTTAGGCTGAAAAGGGCCCCCTCGGCTTATACTCGAGTCAAGGTTATTTATTATTTGACTCTATTGTTATTGTGGTGGTGGTGGTGGTGGTTGTTGTTATTACATTTACATTATTTACTTTGTTATTATTATTACATTTATTATTTTACTCTATTACCACATTTACATTATTTTACTTTAATGTTACATTTATTATTTTACTCTATTATTATTATTGGAAGGATACATAAGCACATTTACATTGAAGAAGGTTAGAATAATGGTTTAATCAGAGTTGGACAGCCTTATCTTAAATTACAGTTTTATGTAAATATTCAAAAACATTTAACCTACTGATGCCCCAGTTAATGTCATTTTACTGTTTCAAAATTTATTTTGAAATTTACCAGTAGTTGCTGCATTTCCTACCCTTGGCTTACACTTGAGTAAATATGTTTTACCAGTTTTTTGTGGTAAAATTAGGTGCCTCGGCTTCTATTCAGGTTGGATTATACTCGAGTATATATGGGCAAGTCTAGAGCAGTGTTTCTCAACCTGTGAGTCCCCAGGTGTTTTGGCCTACAACTCCCAGAAATCCCAGCTGTTAGAATTTCTGGGAGTTGAAGACCAAAATATCTGGGGACCCACAGCTTGAGAATCACTGGTCTAGAGGGTTGTGCTACTCAGACCTAGATTGGACAGTAAGTCATGTTTGGTGTTTTTTATCATTTCTATGACTATACTTCCTCTCCTTCAAAGAAGACATACCATAATTCTAAGCTCCAGCACTTATACGCTCCCTTCCCCATATTTACTTTTCTAGACAATATCATGCTACACATACAGACTAAAGTTTCAATAGAGATCCAAACTTTACTTCTTAGGGCCAGGTTGCGATATATTAGCATTTTTCAGTATGTGTAAATGATTGTTGATTTGTACCCTTTCTCCCCTGACACCCTCAATTAAAAACTTAATAATTTCTTTCTAATGATATGTCTTGGCTAAGTAACAGAAGTGTTATTGTGTTTACAAAGCCAGCTTTTATCCTATAGGCATAAAATACAAAGTAAGATTTAACCAAAAATGTATTAGGTAGAATGTGTTCAGAATTACAGACTTGCAAATATTTCATCCAAAGACAATGGTAATTTGCATAGTTTGGAAGCAGTGTTAATTTAATAGACATATGTGAATCAGTTCTGTAAATTTGGACATGACTTTTTGGGACAAGCAAACAAGAATCTTATTAATAATTAATTATTGGGAACATTGGCTATAATGCTTTCTTTTATGTCATTCTTTATAATGGTCTAAATCAGTGGTTCTCAACCTGTGGTCCCAAGACATTTTAGCCTTCAACTCCCAGAAATTGTAACAGCTGGTAAACGGGCTGGGATTTCTGGGAGTTATAGGCCAAAACACCTGGGGACCCACAGGTTGAGATCCACTGGTGTAAATGGTTATGAAGTTGTTAACAATACAATTAACTAATTAATCATATTGTTCTCTGATCAAATACCATGGATAATCATAATTACCAGAAGGCTTAACAGTTTGCCTGCTTCTCCCTTTGTGAAAGAGAGGACTAAAGGAGCAGTCTGTGCAGTCAGAAGACTTACTCATTCCTCATATTATTATTAATAGTATTATTAATTATTTCTCATACCTCTGGTTGCCAAGTCATGATATTATAAATGCAGTGGTTCTTTCCAAGGCCTGCAGGGTTCCTTTCACTAATTTTTTTTCAGTAAGATATTGCCAATCCTACTTAGATTCCCTTTTTCGGATAACTTCCAGTGATAAATAGGATCTTGGAAAACTGGCACACATAATGCAAATGTCACTTATCTGGTGGAGGGAATAAAGTTGCATGTGCTTATTTCATTTTATTGGTTTGCTAAGTAAGTCTCTCTCTCTCTCTCTCTCATTTCAATTATGCACATCTGTACTGTAATAATACATGTTTAACTTACATTACTGAGGTGGGGAAACATTGGAGCTCCTGAGTAGTAGGATGAAGAAGGTATATATATTGGAGATAGGCCCGATGCAAATTTCATTTAGGCTTCATATATAGTGCATATAGACCAGAGGTAATTTTATACAATATTATTAATAATTTTGTGTATGTTTGTGTACATCAAACTATCACTATATTAGCTACCCATGTAGACAATATCAGATTTTGGAATGTCTTGGAATTCAAGAAAAGGATGCTCAACCTGTATATTTTTCTTTTTAAAAATGCTAATTTGGTCTTGTATGCTTTTAGCCCACACAGTGCCATTTGTTTTCGCAATTTTCCAAATGAATACTGAAAATGAAATGTTTTGTTACATTCTCTGTAAATCCAGCTATAAGTTAGTATAGTACTCACTTTTTAAATGCACTATTTGTAAGTTTGGATAACTAATTGAGCTCATAATTACATCTTGTTAGTTTACAATTTAAAATCAATTTCCCATTTTCCTTAGAAACTAAGTACGATGGAGTTTTATTTAACTTCATTTTTCCCTGCTAAATGAAAGTCTGTTGAGTAATAGGGTGAAATGTTGGTAGTAAATACGCATTTCTAGAACCCAGATAGTTGTCCCAAGTTTTTTTAAAAGTTTGTTTTCAGTGATACCAATAGATCAAAGCCTATAAAATTTTAATGCTGAACACTATAAAATTGAAGTGTTGCAAATTAAATGACTGCATGTTAATTATTTTGTGTTTAGGCAATAAAATCAGAATATGCACGGTTACTCAAATTGGCTCAAGAAGACACGCCACCAGAGTGTGATTACCGCTTGCATCATGCAATTGTGTACTTCATTCAAAATCAAGCCCCAAAGAAAATAATTGAGAGAACACTGTTGGAGCAATTTGCAGATCATAATTTAAGTTTTGATGAAAGGTAATTATGAAATATACTTTGAAAAAAAGACATTTTCTAAGCAGATTGTTTAGAAAAGTTGTTTCTTCTTTGCACATTGTTGGCATAAATTGATCACTCCACTTTGTGTCTTCCTCTAATTCTTCCTTTTTAACTAAATTATTCTATAGCTTGAACAAGGAAAAACAATGTCCAGATATGCAGGATTATATTCATGTTATTTATCTGCGTTGGGTATGTTTGTGAATAGAAATAAGTTGGTATGGCTCCTCCTGGTGGCACTTCCTTTAACTACGAACAAAAGAGGTAGAGGGAACTCATATGAAATGATAAACATTTCATCAGAAGTACAGTGTATCACTAAATAGGAACAAGTATGTGATCATAAACATTGTTTCTAAAATCTGCTGTAAAGCTATTGAGTCAGTAAGCAGTACTGGAAGTTGGTCTTTGGAATGAAATAAAAACTAAAGAAATAAGAGTATATGAGACAAGCAAAATAGAAACAGGTAGTAGCAGTGCAATAAATGGAGTAAACTCGGAACAGCTTGGAGGAGGAAGTATACACAGCTTAAAATCTTATGCAACCTGAGAAACTTTATTTGGTGGCAAGGCATGAATGGTTGTCCATGCCATACATTTCTGTTAAGCATGTCAGTTTGCATAGAGTTGAAATATCATTGGAGACTGCATATTTTAAAAATAAGTGCTCTTGGCCCTTTCAAACAGGAAATACAGCATTCCAACTCCATTCCCACTGCTATGTAAGAATGGCACCTAAACACTATCCACATTATGGTATTATTTTCAGCCAGTGTATGTGACTGGTTGCAAAGGTCTTAATTTAAAGATGCCTATTGAGCCATAATTTTGAGGTGTGTGATTATACAGGGCAATCACTTGCTGCTGGACCGTCAAAGATACTTCTAACCTGGGAAAGGTCTAGATTCAAAATTCACACACACACACCCCACCCCATTCCCCCATAAAGCCATAGAACTAATGGGCACACCAGTTTTATTTCAACAGCTATTTTCCTCATGCTCCCTTCCTGTATAAATCCCAGAAGGCTTGTGTTTTAGTTGTGTGTTTTTTTTTAAGAAAATATTTCACAGGAATGGGTCTTGTTTGTTTGGAACAGGTGCTGCATGTAAGAATATGGTTACGGAGGGTAATCTTTCATTATTTAATGCCTTTCCCCCTATTGTTTCTTAAGGTGTCGCAATATAATGAAAGTGGCTCAAGCCAAAATTGGAATGATAAAACCAGGTGAAGTCAACATGGAGGATTATGAGGTATGTATTATACTTGAAATACTTTCTCTTATATATTGCAAACCAAAATAATGTTTTTAGATCCTTCAGTGAAAGTGAGCCTCAAAGAGTTATAGCAAATACTTATCCTCTTGTCAGGTGTAGTGAATGTTTATCTGAATCTCCAGCAGTTAACTTTTTCTCTTGCCAGCAGTGTGTTATACTGAAAGTGGTAAATAACACAGAATTAAAATATTTTTTCATCACTGTGTCCATCTAAAGGAGACATTCTCAAAAATATTGGAAACAGCAGTAGAAAGGAGTAAAGTTTGAAACTTATAATATTTCAAATAATCTTTTTAAAATGTTTTATATGCAGTGGTGGCACCAAGAGTACAAAAATTTCAGAGAGACGACGGTATATCTCATGCTGGGATTGGAACTCTTTCAAAAGAAGAAGTAAGAGAATCCAAAACTGCTTCCTTAAATCTTGAAAATAAATACTGTACAAAAATTACTGTGTGCATAGCCATATTTATTGTGTGTGTGTGTCGGTCTGTAAACCTATTTATTTATCAAGGGAGAGTCACATTGATTTTTTTAGGTCAAGTGGATAACTTCAGTCACTTTATTAAATGTTTAATTATACATTTATGAAAGTTCTTAATCTGAATAGGGATATCTTATATGGGTCAGTGGTTCCCAACCTGTGGTCCACTGACCACCAATGGTCCTCAGGGTCTAACATATGGTCCATGGCCTCACTGTTACTGAACTGTTGCAATGAGAGCGACTGGTCTCACGAAAACTTCTTTTAGACTTATTAAATATGGTTTTATGTGGGCGAGCAGATGGCGACTACTGGGTGGCATATGTTCTGTATCAGAAACTAGAGCTGATGTTGTCTATCCAATGAGTTTTCTGAATCAGCACCCCAAATAACCAAACCAAATCTAAAGTTGAACAAAAACTTATTCATAATCCTTTTGGTACTCGTTTCGGAGAGTGGTCCCTGGTCAAAAAAAGGTTGGGAACCACTGAGTAAAGGGCTCCTTTTCTTGGTCACGTGCTGTTGGAGTCCCAGGCCTTACATTCCCGTGAATGTGAAAAACAATCTGCAGACAAAGCCAGAACTGCACACAAAACATGCAATTCAGCACTAAACTAACTTCATGTGTGTTGGCAGCTATAGCTCCAGTTCTTCTCTGTGTCACCCCACTCTCCCTTGTAAAATGTTGGCTATTCTCACAGTTATGGCAAGTCTTAAAATCATCATTAGTGGAATGTTCTGCTTGGAGATAGTTCCACAAGAGGACTGAATTGTGATTTCACTGTTCTGGTATGCTTCAGGCAAAAATGCTAGACAAAAGCCTAGGATTGGGCTGTTCCCTGGAAATATTTTTGACTGTTGGTATAAATGTGTGGGTTAAAGATGTACACATTGAGACAGACAGTATGCCATATGGTTTTAAGGTTAGACCATAAGACATCAATGATAACTATTCTACATTCTAATGTTCTGCAAAAATATTTTGCATTTTTGTTTGTGTGCTAGTTTTCAAGAAGCCTTGCTGTACCTCATCTTTGCTTATCATAAAAACAAAGAGCTGTCATCAAGAGGCTTGTATAGAGGACATGATGAAGAACTGATATCCCACTACAGAAGGGAGTGCTTACTAGTAAGTGGAATGGAAATGTCACCTTTTAAACTCTGTAACCATTTATTTGTCATGGTTCATATAATGTGCAATATAACAGTTTCCAAGTGACATGATAATTTATTAATTGGATGTATGGATGAGTAAATAAAATAAATAGAATAAATAGATACATGCATACATATGCTAATATTCTTTCCCATCCCAGTAAGCCAAAGTTTTGAGGAATATTGGTTTGTTATATGCAATCCAACTCAATGATCATAATACGACTGAGGTGTACACACATACATATGTTTATACACACATACTCCTATATAATTATTGAACAGGTTTGCATATAACATACCAATATTCTTTGAAATTTTGGCTTATCGAGAACAGGCAAACATATTGGCATACACTATCAACTGGTAAAGTAGCATAAACTGCAAAACTTCACGGTTTGCTGTGCTATATCCAAGTCAAATTCTCCTTACCAGCTGGAATCTGAAGTAAAGAGGAAGCATAGCTATATAGTAGCATCACACTAATTATTCTAACATTTTAATCTAAGGTCTCTTAAACGCTTCTGCTCTTTTTATGCATTGTACTTCATCACATTTTGAGTATGCATCCTGTGTTGCTTATTTAATAAATAGGAGTTTCATGTGCTCTTTGTAAATAAACAGCATAGGATACATTTGGGTTTCAATTATAATGGTGAGCAGCCTTAAGCTATATATGCTAACCAAATCATCAAAAATTCATGCTGTAAGAAACGGAATATTTAAAAATATTATTAGCAGAAGACAAACATGGTAAGAAATAGATTCCTAAAATGTAAGAGCTCTGTGAAGGTTATGTGAGAAGATTGAGATCAAGTATTGCATAATTACTTGAAAAAAAATAGATTTTTCTGAATAAAGGTGTACTGAATGAGTATTTTTAGCTTGCTTTTGAGACATTTCTGTCCATGTGCTGTTTCATCCAAGCTAGTTTTCCTTCAGGCAGAGTGGGCAGATACTAAAGGCAAGACACTCTAACCTTTAATAGTTGAGTCAAAGAGGAATATGGTAGGTATTGTTTATTATCATTTGGTATATTTACTAAGATTTTTCTTTCAGCTTCTCCTCTTATTGGATATCTCATCTTACTTGGTATACTAAGCTGACAGGGAATAAGCAATCACATGATTATGAAAGAGACCCTGTTTCACAGCAATTTGTTCATAGGTTGCACTTTTAGAATCCATTTGGGAAATGGGTTCAGTGTGGACACTGTAAATACTAACAATATTTTATTTTCTCTTGACATTGCATGAAGAAGTTAAATGAGTGTGCTGCCGCACAGTTTGAATCTGGAGACGACGATGAAGTAAATAAGGGTCTAGAAATTATGAATGAACTTATTGTCCCATGTCTGCCTTTATTGTTGGTGGATGAAACAGAGGAAAAGGATGTTGTTGCTGTTGAAGATATGAGAAATCGATGGTGCTCATATCTTGGACAAGAAATGGAGCGTAAGTCACTTGGTTGCTTTTGTACATACAGTAATAATATGATAAAAAACTAGAAATCTTAATTTTGTTGCATCATCTCTATTTTATCTATACACACAATAAAAGTGAAAATATGTATGTCTGTGTGTGACTGGGTGTCCACTTACACAGACAAACTCCTGCCTCCACAAACACAGCTATAGCTCCCACTACTCAGGAGATACCAAAGGCCCTTTTCCATTCAATGACATTGCAGGTAATAGTGAGCTCCATGAACATGTATAAGAGCCCTGCCAATGTCTTCCACAAACACAACACAGCCCACCACCCAAGTGAAGGCTTTCATATGGGAACAATTTCATCCTAGATTTTATGTGTTTCCTCCAACACAGACATCCCAGTGTTTCTTACTCTCTCAATAGATGTGGAGTTTGCATGACCCCACCCACTGCTTCACCCTTAACCCTTTCCTATAACTTTCTATGGCACACAACAGGAATTTATCAGCAGCTGAACATACTAGAGAGGTTTGGAGGGAATTCATCATGATTTGTGGGAGTTGACGGTACTGGGATGTATAGTTCACCTGCAGTCTATGAGCACTCTGAATTCCGCCAATGATGGATTCAGAACTAACTTGGCACACAAAATGGAGATCTTTAGAGGAATTTATAGGAGTTGTAGTTCACCTGCATCCAGAGAGCACCATGAACCCAAACAATGATGGATCTGGACCAAACTTGGCATGCATACCCAATATGGCCAAATTTGAATACAGGTGGGTTTTGAGCGGAATTGGCCAAGACTTTTTGGAGTTGTAGGTACAGGATTTATAGTTCACCTGCAAGCAGTGAGAATTCTTAAACTCCACCAAAGATGAAATTGGACCAAACTTGGCACACAGAGCCCTGCTTACCTCTCCGAACACATCTCCTCCTATGAACCGACTAGGACACTAAGATCATCTGGGGAGGCCCTGCTCCCTGTCCCGCCTGCATCACAGGCGCGCTTGGCGGGGACGAGAGACAGGGCCTTTTCAGTGGTGGCCCCTCGGCTGTGGAACGCCCTGCCTGCAGATATCAGATCGGCCCCCTCCCTGCTGGCGTTTCGGAGGAAAGTGAAGACCTGGCTGTTCGAACAAGCATTTGATTAAACAATGTAATTGAACATAGGAATACGGAATAATGGATGATAAGACTGGATTCTGATTTTACTGTTGAGGCGCTAATGATTGATATACGGATGTTTAATGATTTATGTTACAATTGTTGTTAATTGCCCTATACTTGTTTCGTGATGTTTTGTATTGATATTGTTCACCGCTTTGAGTCGCCTGAGGGCTGAGAAAAGCAGTATATAAATAAAGTAAATAAATAAATAAATAAACAGCAAAAAATTCTGGAGATCTTTGGGGAAAATTCCTCTTGATTTCAGGGAGTTGTAGTTCACCTACATCCATAGAGCACTGTGAATCCAAACACCGATGGATCTGGACCAAACTTAGCAGACATACCTGATACACCGAATTTGATTGCTGGAAGGGTTTGGGGGGAACTGGCCTTCCTTTCTGGGAGTTATAGTTAATCCACAATCAGAGAAACTATGACCTCCACTGATGATGGACCTAGACCAAACTTGGCACACAGAACCCCCATGACCAACTAAACGTACTGTAGGGATTTGAGGGGGACTGACTCACCATAGTGGGAGTTGCAGTTTACCTTACAGCCAGAGAGCACACTGAATCCCATTAGTGATGCATCTAGAGCAAACTGGCCTAACATAACAAACTTTAAGTACTGGTGAAGTTTCTTGGGGTTAACCTGGCATGATGTGAGTTGTAGTTCACCCACAACCTTATGCATTTTGTACAGTTTAAAAATGACTTTTTCAAACAACCTGGGTAATGCCAGGTTCCCAAGCTAGTAATAAATAAAATGGAAAGTTGATACAACACTGGAAAGTTAAGACTGGTACAACACTGCTCAGAAAAGGATATCTCTGTAGTGATACATATAGTAAGGGGATTGAAGTTGAGCTTGAAATCGTCTTACTGTTAAAATCACATTTTTTCAGATACAGATTGTAAAGTTTGATGAGCTGATTATTATTCATGATAATAAAAGTAATGCCTGTTCTTTTTGGTTTTTATGCAATTGCCATCGTGTTCTTTGTGAGACAGCAGTTACACATAGTCACCATGCTTCTTCTTTTGGATATAAGTGCAGAGACGGTTTATGAGTCTGTTCTTTGAATATCGCTTTCAGTGCTCTGTCCAAAAACTCATATTAATTTATTCATCTGGGTTACCTTTATGAATTTCTGATTAGACTCTGCCATTAATTTAGCATATGTCACCTAGGAATTGGGTGTGACTTATGCAAACATATGCATGGAGCCAAACATGTTTTTTCCTACATTCTCAGTATCCTTTTTCCAGAGCAATTCTGATTATTGTTGGAAATTAAAATATTTTCGCACTCTAGCTCCTTTTATTTACAACAGCAATTCCAACCATTATCATAGACTAGCAGCTCTGCTACAGTTACATCCTAAGTTCAGTTGTAATAGCTTTCAACTGCAGTTATATATAGCAATAGCCAGTCAAAAGTAACTTCCATGGGAGAAACAGGTATTTTGTGGACATGGGGATTAGTAAAACTTATTTTTCATTGGTTGACAAGAAAAGCAGTTAATTATCACTCTGAAGGCCGAGATAAGACCAAGGAAGGCTAGGGAGACATAAGAACACACACCAGCACCCTTTAAAAGATATGTATGGTTTCAACTAGAAAATTGTGATTACAGAGAATCACAGACTACAAAAGGGACCACAGCAGCCACCTGATATGATCCCTTGCCATAAGGAATCCATAACTGACACACACTGGATAAATCCTTCCAACTTCCAAAGGGAAAGTTCACTTAAGTAGACTTATTTCTTTGTTGAACAGCTGTTACAATCAGGAACATAATTTTTTGACGGAATCAATTTTCTTATCATTTGAATACATCTGTTCGCATCCTAGTTTGGGAACAACAGAAAATGAGCTTGATCCATTTTCTGCATCGGAATTACTCAAAGTGGTGGTCTGTGCAGGCTGTTGGTTCCCAGTCCACACCAATTTTCCAAAGAAAGAATGAAGGTGGTAGCCAGTGAGCACAAATATGCGGCTGGTTTCTGCCCTATTGGGAGACAACACCTGTAAGTCCACCACATAAGATCGTTTAAGAAAAACTGTACCAAATGACCTGCCTTCTCACGCTGTTCAGTGATATTCAAATATACTGAGCTAATAGTAAATAATTATTTGTTTCATTTTATTTTCACAGCTAACTTGCAAGAAAAGCTGACAGACTTCCTGCCAAAATTGTTAGATTGTTCAACAGAAATTAAAGGTTTCCACGACCCACCAAAGTTACCTTCTTATTCCACCCATGAACTGTGCGAGCGATTTGCCCGAATCATGTTATCACTCAGTCGAACTCCAGCTGATGGAAGATAAACTCTAAAGACCTTCCTTAAGCACACTGTATAAACTTTTTTTTAGTTCTTTAACCCTCGCCTTCCTGTCACAGGGTTTGCTTGTTGCTGCTATAGTTTTTAACTCTCATTTTAATAACTGCAAGAGAAGAAAAGGGGACTTTTACTGACACTAGCCAGACTGCAGGCAATAAAGCTGAGAATCGCATGGCACTCAGTTTTTGTTATCAGCCACAACTCATGCACCATTACACGTCTGATTTTATTATGGCAAACCTGCTTTTTTGCCACTTACATGTTACAGTATTACTTTGCTTTTATCTTAAAATCCTTTTACTTCATCATCAACCACTTTTTCTTCAGTCTGGGACATTCTGTGACTGCATCAATTTTAAAGTGACCAGTGTAAAATACATGGTACCTGGTAGCTTGTAAATTACATCAAAGAATAAAAAAGTTTTATTTATGGCTACTTTTGTTGTAAATTAACTGTTTTTGTGAATAATAGATTATATTTTAAATATGGCACTACTTAATGGCAATACACATCGGGGAGGGAAACGATGGACTACAAGCATGGTCTTTCAAGAATTAAAGTATATTTTAATAGCTTGGGTACTTGGGAGTTTACTGGCATGTAGAAACCTTCCCTTAGCTCCATTGTAGCATTTCCTTGTTTGGAGATTCTTACATTTATTTCACAATAATTGTAACACTTTAACATATTTAATTGCAGAGTACCACTTTCCTGCTCTGTCTAGATCAGTGGTTCCCAACCTATGGTCTGTAGACCTCCAGTGGTCTGCAAGAACTAAAGTATGGTCCACGGCCTCACCATTACTACACCATTGCAATGAAAGCGACTAGTCTTGCGAAACCTAAAGCTTATTAAATATGGTTTTTCTGTGAGCAAGCAGATGGCAACTACTGGATGACATATGTTCTGTATCATAAACCAGAGTTGGTGTGGTCTATCCAATGCAGTTTTCTGAATCGGCACCCCAATTAACCAAACCAAATCAAAAGTTGACCAAACCCCGATTCCTAATCCTTTTGGTACTAATGTTGGGGAATGGTCACTGGTCAAAAAAAGATTGGGAACCACTGGTCTAGAATCACTGTGCTGGCATAGCCCCTGTAATGTGGTGGCATTGGGTAAACTGGCATCTTGGAACCAGCAGATTATGTCTGGCTTCCCTCATTGCTGCTATGTGACCCCAGCAGAACAGAAACCACTAGCATAGTTCCACCAACAAGATTCTGGCCCTAGAATTTGTTATAAATTGTAATATCCAAGTAGACAACACTACAATTACGCAGAATCATGGCAATGCTCATTAGGCCTGTCAATGTCCTCACTTCTAGTGAACAGTTCAGCTACAGAGTGGGCTATGCATGGAGATAGGGATAGAGGATTTAAACTATATGACCTCTATGCCTCAGTGTTGCAGAATACCCATTACACAATGGATTGATATTGGAAACTCTAATTACTCAAACAAAAAGCTAGGTTCTAGTCCACTAGAGATTATTTCAGTTCCAAACTATGTGAACTGTTCTGCTATCCACACAGAAATATGGAGAAGCCAAAGAGAGAAGAGAAATGTTCTAAGATATATTTCCCCTTTGAAGTTACAAAACATTTTCAAAGTATATTTCAGATGTCATCTCATTGGTTGCATACTCAGTTGAGTTGTAAGAGATCGTTGAAAAAATATATAAACTCATGAGTTATATAGGGATTTTGTAAGTATGTAATTTTACAAATTCCAGAAATACTACTCTTAAGTCATTTCAAACTTGTGAATTACATATCATTCAGCATTGCCATTCTGAATAGTGATTTATGTATAGTTCATTTTAACAGTTGAAATACACATCTTTTTTAAAAGCCTATTTGTGAGAGATATAAGTTTAAAATACGCTGGATGGAATTTACTTGATGTTTTCCATTAAAACCATCTGGCCTTTTAATTTAGAATTAATATTATCATTGGGAAGTAACAGATTAGAAATGTTGGTATAATGTTTGACATCACAAACATTCTACCAAGTGCATGAAATTATGACAAGTAGAAATGCTTTAAACAATATATATAAACTAACCATACCATTGATGATTTACAAAGTCCCATCTTCTAAGAAATGGAGCCGTGGTGGCACAATGGGTTAAACTCTTGTGCCAGCTGGACATCTGACCAGAAGGTCGGCTGTTTGAATCCTCAAGACTGGGTAAGCTCCCATCTGTCAGCTCCAGCTTCCCTTGTGGGGACATGAAGAAGCCTCCCACATGATGATAAAACATCCGGGCATCCCCTGGGCAATGCCCTTGCAAACCTTTGAGATTGAAAAGTCAGGTGTATGTCACAGAAAAAAAAATCTGATTTCAGGAAAATAAGGCCCTATTTATTTACATATCTTGGGGACCATTTTCAAGTCATCCAGATATCTGAAGCCTGTACATTTTGCTGCTACTGTGTATTTTAAAGATATTTTAAAGTTAAAATAGGCACAATTATGTAAAATTAAGTACAGCTTTCTATTAACTATTGTAAAAGTCATGAAAAGTCATTCACTTATTAGCAAATAAAAATCATTATTGAAAAATCATCACATAATTAGAGCCTTAAATATACTTTAATTGACTTTATATTGATTGCTTTCTGTTAATATACGAAGTTGTTCTGATGAGGATCTACAGTAGTTATGCACCTTCAAGTTTTCATTTAAAAGTTACATCTCTACCGTGTTAGGTTCAAAGCCTACAGTGTCAAGCAAGAAAGCTGTTAATGTTTTGAATGGGATACAGCATCTGTCCCTTTAATGTAAGTACTGGGTGTTTCAAAAAGATGGAACACAATTTCACAATTTTATAGGGCTTGACAGTCTCTTATCTCTAGGTGTACATAGGGTTGTATCCATTTCATAAACAAGACTCTTCACTTTGCACTTTCTTAAGGCAAGTAAAAGGGCTTGTTTAGTGATGGAAAGACTGACTGTAGTTAAACAACGGATTGGAAACTGTCTTATATTGGGCAGGAGCACAATGATAGTTTTGTATCTGTTTTAGGATATATAGGTTATATAGCTACCGTGTTCCTATTGCAGGTAAGTTGAAATGGAGCTGCTCGTTCCGTACATTCCATATCTTCACCTAGATATGAAGACAACTCCATAAATGCAGCAACAAATAAAAAAATAAAGAATAATGACTAAGAAAAGAACAGTTGTAAAACAAGTGGTTAATATCCACTGGGGAGGAGGGACAAATATCCTGGATATTACCAGCTCAACATGGACGATGTCTCAGACTGCTCAAGCTAGACTGGTGATTGTCTAAATCAGATGTAGTGAAACTTGCTGGATAAACCCATAGTTTTCTTTTTTCCAAATAATTTTTATTAAACTTCTGATCCCAGGTTTTCTGCTTTAAACAGGATTATATGAGTCCCCACTGCCAGATAATCTGGGATAAATGGAGAGTCTTCATCTGTATTGCTTTAACACACATTTCATAACATATTAAAGATTCAAACAATTTTAAATTTAAGTCTATTGGTTGTATCTTCTTGTCTTCTCACATTGTTTGTTGGTCATCATATATTCATCATTGGTTCTATGGCTGGGATTACTAGGCAATGTAGTTCAAAATCTGGAGAACCACACATTTCCTACCCCAGGTCCAATTTTCTCTTGGCTTGAATAAAGTAAACTTCAAGATATTTTATGTGAAAGAAGAGTGACATCCAGTGCTCACTAAAATAGCTTCTAAAACTAGATGTGCAGGAATAACTATTGACTATTAAGCAACATACAAAATTTCATTGGGGGTGTTGATTAAGAAAGGAGGAGGTGCAACAAAAATTACACTAGCCTTTGAAGTTCATTTGATTCTTCATCAGGTAAAGATGGTTAAAGAGCAATCATACTGTAGGAATAAAAGGGATGCTGTGAGAAATCGCATGGATATCTGTTTTGGATGTCACAAACAGAATGGTTTCATGTATTCAAAAATCTGAGTCCCCTCCCTTCTATGACAGGTTGAAGAACAAAAAGCACAGGAATTTTGACCTTCCTTATTGTAGGCATGTACTAGGGCTGTGTGATCAATGAAAAAAAAATGTTTCAAAATTCATTACTAAATTAGGGGGTACTGGTGTTTTGTTTCTAAAGAGTTTGTAAAGTATCTTTAGTGAAAATTTTGTTACTATAACAAGCATAATGCAATGTTGTTAGTTTTTCATTATAGTAATTGAACAAATGGGGAATTGAAAGGCTATGGGGTAAAACTTGTTACAGTGGCAGAACACATTTACCACTGTTAGCCCATCAAGTTTCAGAATGTTTCACTTATCCATGGAATTTGGGGGTATTTTCAAAGTTTTTATAAGTAACATTCTTTTTTAAAAAAAACTACAAGAGTTATCTTCTTGAATTTTCTATACAATGACACAAGATAACGGGATAGTTCTCCCCAACTTTCAGAAATATTCATACATCTACTAGGTTTAGGGATTTTTTAAAAAGTTCTGACAGAAACCTTTTTAAAAAGCTACAACAGCAATTTCATTGAATGTCTCTCAAATTAACCAATAGAACTTCCATTTAGGGATTTCTTCCCAGCCCAGCACAGAGATTTGCTTACTAAAAGTATCAGTCAGTCCTCCTCTTTGCAGAGTCAACAATTTATTGGAACTGTGGTTGGCTTCTACTAGAGAGGGACAAATCTCTCCCCTATCCCGATTGGGGCTTTTTGATGCTGAGCAGAATTCTGGGAAATCTAGTTTTGGGCAGGGCCTTTTGGATTCTCTGTCATAGGGCTCCTCGCCTTCACATATTACATTTCCTAGAATTCTGTGCTTTCGCAGTCTTTTCCCCACAAACTCTGCTTTCTACCTACTGCTTCTCCTAATGGCAAGACACCATTCAAAAGGCAGCCTTTTTGGTTTTGCTTTGTTTTCTTGCACTGAAAATGAATCTGACTTTGGGAGGCTTCTGAGATTTACAAAACGCAAAAGTATTGGGTAAGTCTTGACCCCTAGCACACCCCTAGCATGTAAATATGACCACAGTGGGAGGCCCTCAACAGAATCTACTTCTAGTTCAAGTTTTATTTGCTGCATTGTCTACTGCAGGTGTTGTACTATAACATGATATCAAGTCTGTATTTCTTCAGCTCTTCTCCACCATTCTACTAATGCTCTTTTCAAAATCTAGCTAAACAGAAGAAGAAAGGGATGACATAAAAGGTCTTTGTTAAAAGGAGTTTCACTGCCAGAGGCTTTGTTATCTGGGGCATTCCAAATTTTGAAAAAAAAAAAGGCACTCAGCACCCTCCATTATATTTTTGGATGCAAGCAATTATTTGTAAGACTTTGTAGACAAAGGATGGTGTATCTCAAATCTTCTGCTACTTCACCACAGTGGAGAATGAATCCACTTTAAATCCAGTTTCTGCCTCCTGCAGAATTC